TCACAAGATAAGCATTAAATTATGTATATAAATAAAGAAAAGTAAAGCAAGCATAACATTAAGTAAGATTATAGTTTTTCTTTTACAATTCCATGTTGACAAATGAGTGAGCAATGAAATAATGCTGTTTAGTTGTATGAGATCACATGACCTTGGTGTAATTAGGTAACCAATCTGCATGAAGAGACATCTATGAGATTATTCAATTGACAGTGAGATGTCATAGAGTATTGTGACTGTTGTATTCACAATGAAAGTGATAGTAAACACTCAGGGATTAAAAACATTGCACTACCAAGTCAATCAGCCTTACTAAAATCCAGATTTGGTTTCTTGCAATATCTGGCTATCATAGTTGAAAGAGAAATTACAGGCTGTTGACAAAATAAAGGAAAATGTAGTTTGAAAGATAATGCCACAGAATGTTTTAAAAAGCAGAAAGGATTGTGCAAGTACTTTGAATGACTATATAGGCTATTTATTTGAAAATATTAAATGGGTAGAAAAAATTCTGGGCAGATGTATATTAAATATGGAATCAACATACAAAAGATAGAGACAACTCCATTTGAAGGTTCAATTTAATCATGACAAAGGCTTTATTCAATATATCAATTTAAAAATACAATAATGATCCCAAATTAAACAAGAATTTATAGACAAAAAATTTAAAAAATCCACCACAAACCTTTGCATTATTATCGATAACTTCTTGCCAGATTAAATAATGTTTTCCTAACTTTCCAATATCATCAAGAATTCTGCAAAAAAAAAATTCTGTTTCATTTTTTAACCAATAGAAATGCATTAAAAAGAACTGAGATGAGATTTAAGGTGTCTTAGATGGAAAAGACAAATATCTTTTGTTAGTGCCACATCAAAAAAAAAAATAAATGCTTAAAATTGTTTTTTTTTATCTAATCTATAAATGGCATTTTTATCAATGTATCTGAATGTATACAAATCTGAAATACTACTGAAAGAAAAATATCTAAACCTTTTTGTTAGGTATTTTAAAATTTTTTATTTTCCACCTAATGAAACCAAAATGTGGCTTTTTTTATGAGTGAATCCACATCCCTACTTGGTGAACATGATTAAGATCTAATTCTATGGTGGATCATCTAAAAATTGCTTAGTTCCCTTGGTTGTTGCTGCAGACATTAGGATATGCCTTTAACTCTATTCTAAATTAGCCTTACAAGTAAAGCTTTGAAAAGGAAAAAAAAATCTAAACAAAAGAAGTTTATTTAAATAGTAAAGTCCATGTGAACATACATGTAGATGTATGTTTACTTGAATTTAATATTTCAATAAATAACTTTTTTTTCTGGATAAAAGAACTGAAAAAATAATTTTCATTTTAGTGACAAGAACACTAGGCAACATAGTAAACATGTTTCCTATTCAATTAATTGTCCTTATATTAAATGTGTATTAAAATTATATATATTAAATGTGTATCAAAATTATATATAGTAAATGTGTATAAAAATAAAGTTAATTAAACCATTAACTGCAATATTTAAACTTCCCATGTTGTTTAGCTATTTGGTTAAAATTGGCACTGGCAACTTTTGAAAGGTAATGAAAATGAAATGTTAAAAACATTTTAGTAAATATTACTCCTACTGTCCTATAATACTTGCTACATTTATTGCATGAGATTATATATATATATATATATATATATATATATATATATATATATATATATATACACACACACACAGGGAAATGTAACAGCTTTTATTGAAGTAGGCATTTTTTTATTATTTACCTCTGCATGTAATATTGTTCCAATTTGTTATAGTTGGTACCAAATCCCATCTTCTTCATGAAGGCAGTGACATTTGGGTTACTTTGCCTAAAATGATTGTAAAAAACAAATAAAACACTAATGTCAAATTATTCATTGTAATTAATATACTTCATAACACACACATAAACAACTATTTAATACTTTAAAGCCAAATTTATTTCCAAACAATCTGCAATCACACAGAAAAATCAAGATTATTATTTGTACTGAGTTTTCATACCAGTACCAACTATTGGCTTTCACTGGGGTCAACTGAAAGCAATACACTAGCACTCTCCAGTATTCAAACTGATTTTAGTAATACTCTATTTGGACTCACTGACTTTAAAAATTTGTATATGGTGATTTTCACTGGAGATTAAGTGGTAACAAACAATCTTGTTATTATGCCAGCACTTTTCTTCCTAGTTATTCTTTTTATATATATATATATATATATATATATATATATATATATATAAATAAATCCTAATAAGCCAGGTACTACCTACCTAGGTTTCACCACATAGGATCATCAGTGTGAACTGGTCAGTTTACCCTGATGATCCCAATTGGTGAATTATTTTACTTTTGTTCTACTTAGTGTATTGAGCACTCTTTGTTTTAACTTATTACTCAGTGTTTTTTTTTTGTACTAGAGATTTAAGGTACTGGAAGACTTCTTTCATACTGTTTGAAGTTTTCTGGTGCTTTTTTTTTCCATTTTTCCTTATTTGAAAATTCTGCTATCTAGATTGTTTCACCCACCAAGTTTAAATAGATTTACATTATATATATATATATATATATATATATATATATATATACACAAACAGATTATTGCTGCCACACCAGGATAGGATGATCTTTAAAAGAGGAATCATAATTTATTGATAAAAAAATGATACAAAAGTATCACAATGATTAAAATTGGCATGGTAGGTTCTGCCCAGCATAAATTGGCTAAGTGGCTTATTGAGGTTCTTGATCCAGTATTACATTTCTATTCAAAGTATTGTATGTCTGACTTGTTTCAATTTGCTGCATATATGTGCAAATTGCAACCCAATTTTGACACTGAGTATTTTGTGCCATTCAATATATTTAGTTTGTTCACAAATGTCCCTCTTGATGAAACTATTGATATCTGTGCAGACTTTTTGTATCATGGCCCATCTTTCCCTGAGGTTGTCTTTGTTGAGTTGATGGAGATGGCTGCCAAGTCTGTTTCCTTTAGCTATAACAATTGTATGTACTGACAGATAGATGGAGTTGCGATGGGTAGTCCATTAGTACCTCTAACGGTTAACATTTTCGTTGGCTTTTATTTGATAGGATTGCCAAGCCTTATTGTTACTTCTGCTGCGTTGATGATATATTTATGTCATTCTCTTCATGTGGTAAAGCAGAAGAGTTCTTTTCATATCTGAATAAATTCTAACCCTCTTTGAAATATACTGTGTAGGTGGTAGAGAACATTAAGTTACCTTTCCTGGAAGTTCTGGTTGAGAGAATCCCTTTGGGCTTTCTCATTAGTATATATTGGAAACCCACCTTTTCAGGTTATACCTCAGTTAGGACTCATTTATTCCCAAAACCAGAAAAATCAATTTTATTAATACTCATACTCATTGCCTTTTGATGTATTCTGAGTGCAGGCTGATGCTGAACTTAAAAAAATTAAACAGCTGTTTTTGGTGAACGGCTACCCTGAATGTATTATCCCAACTACCACTGAACATGAAATTGTTAAGTTCAATGGAGTTAAGGTATTTGGCACCTCTAAGTCTAAGTATATGTTAGACAACTGTTACGAGGATGCATTTCTAAGGGATTCCTTTGAGTTCTACTTGTTATTACAAAAAAGTTTTCATTCATGAAGTAGTTGTAAAATAGAGAAATTAGAAATAGAATGTTTGGAAGATTCTAGATCATTCTAGTATATTCGAGAAAAATCTAGATGATTCGAGAAACATCTAGAAATATGCAAATTAGGTGTTAGCCCCTATAAAAATGGGATTTTGGAAAAGGGTTACCAGTTGATGAATGGGAATTTCTGCTGTTATCAACTCCGGCTTTTGATTCAAGGACTATTATATCCAGTCAAGAATCTCTATAAAAAGTTGCCGACCAACCAAAACCCAAAAGAGAATTTCATGGAACAAAGTTGGTAAATAGAATTTTGACTAATTTTCATTGACCAAAACTAAAAATTAATATTTATTTACACACCTTTGTGGATTTCCAAATATAGCACTTAGATTACTTCACTAGCCCTAAAGGGATAAAGATATTTGATTCCCTTTCCTTCTTCCTCATAACACTCCGCCAGTAACTCTTTGTTTTCTGTTTTGTAGGCCACAATTGTTTATCCTGTATATATTTTATGTTCTGTTTTAGTGAATTAAATATTTGTTTGTGATTTAGCTCTGTGTTGTGGTAAATCATTTTTTTCCTTTGTTACAATTATCAACACGTAACACAACCGTGGATTGGTCCTGTGAGACAAGTATACACTGAGAAAATATTTTCTTCTATCAAATTGTGTTTCAATGCTGTATTGGTCCAGAATTGATCTATTACTTGTAGGATTGGGCTATACTCCGAGTTTTTCTCTGTCTTGCACAGGGCATGAACTAGACTCCACCTTGGCATCTTGGAGTCTGTTGTTATTAATATACAGTGTCTGGCCCTGTATAGGTAGAGAGAATTAAAACATAATTTAGCCCTTTTTGGAAGGAAAATATTTTTTATTCTTGTTCCTTCCCCCATTTTGGTATGATTTTAAACACAGTTCTTGAAAATAATTTTTCTTTTCAGCTACTCTGTCTTATTTACCAATGATATTTTTTCTGAAGGTGCCTAAATTTTAATCGTTGTGATACTTTTGTATCTTTTTTTTATCAATAAATTATGATCCCTCTTTTAAAGATCATTATATATATATATGCGTGTGTGTGTGTGTGTGTGTGTGCATGTGTGTGCACACACACAAAATTCCCATTGTCTTCTAATAATTTGCATAATTCCCAACAAATCACCTTTCACACAGAGTCATACTTTTTTTTATTCTCTTTTCAAGCCAATTTGTTGTTCATTTTACAATTGACAGTCCCATCTTCATTTCCAGTATAAATTATACATTTTCACATTAGGTGTCTGGTGATTATTACTAGAAACTAAATGGCAGTATGTCTCCTTAAATATCCTTTCTCGTTAGCATTGTAAACTCCAGTTTCAATTCAACTAAATTTGATTCCAGTGCCTTTTGACACTACACCAAGTGTGCTACCTATTACTGGTTCAAATCTAACCAACATTGTTTTAGCTATCTCGGTTCCTGAGCAAGGTTGTGGTATTTCCAATATCTTTTGGTTCCAGTTGTTTTCATCCTGTGGTACAGTCATGTCCACAATCTGGCAAGTCCTCTTGATCTTGTATAAGATTATCAAATCTAAATTTTCTTGTTGCATAGAATGGTTGGTCTGGATCTCAAAATTCCAGAGTATGTTATTTTTTTTAATTTCAGGCACAGCTTCAGATTTGGGATGATGCCATTTGTTTAGAGTTGAACCTAAATTAATTACACAATTCCCAATGTATGACTGCCCCAATTGCTTTGCCTGTTTTTAAATTTCTTTTTAACCAGTTTGCTGCATTTATTTATGTGATTTAATTTAATTTTTTGTTTCACAAAAAGACAACATTTGTTTTTTTTCTGGATTTTGTTTCTTTTCACTTTGATAGAATTCTGATGTATCTGATCTACAATGATATATTTTTCTTTTCAGGCATTTTCCACAGAACCACGGCCACAATTATTTTTTTGCAATTGTTTCTTTTTAACCTCTTTGTAGCAAATCTTTTCTTATTTTCATTTTCTTCCCTTAGGATATTCCCCATTGTTCTCTTGGTTGGTATTTTTAGTGCATAGGAAATCCACTTACCTTCAAAAAGGCTGAGGGCATGCACCTGCCAATGCCATTGGCTCCATGATACAGTGGAAAACTGGAGCAGACTCATTCCATCATTTATAACAGAAAATGGTTGATGGAATAGCCAGGATGTACTGCCTGCAGGGATGATGGAATAACCCAAATGTGTTGCCTATCGATTAGCATATTTTCCTTTGAATGTATATAGTCATTGGCAGTGAACAAGAGGACAGCAAGTAAGCCAACTGCTGGAAAAATGGATTTGCAGCTATTTGAATTTGTGACAGTTTGCTTTATTTTTCTACATTTTTATAATTTGTTTTAATCTTACAAGCATTTTTTTTTGTTTCCTTCATTACTTGGTTGCATGTATTTGGTTCATTTGAACACTATCCCTGATATGTACAAGTCACTCTCCCCATATTTGGGTAACAATCCCTCTTTTATAAAAGTTTCTTTAAAAACGACTGACAAGGTACTACAGTTAAGTTTTTTATTTAATTTTTTCTTGTGTTCTTGTAATTTTTTTCTTTTCTGGACATAAATTAAAGTAATAATTGTCTGTATGCTCTATATATCCAAGCACTTTCAGCTATTCTTTGAGCCATTATCAAGGATGATTTTATGTCTTACTTTTAACTGAATATATGGATTTTTATGTATGTATCTAGAGTTATAGGAATGTCTTTATTTTCCAAACATGGTCAGCACATTCTGGTCATGTTCATAATTAATGTTATTGAGTGTTGGCTTTTTCTTCCATTATTTTTAGCCTTCTTTAAATGTGGATGAAGCAAAAAAAAGTAAACGAGTAATATTCAAGAAATATTTTTTTTTAAATCTGCTTGTAATTTAAATAACATTCATTAAAAAAAGAAGAAATTTCTTGAATATTATTTGCTTACTTTTGTCTTACCAGACTTTGAATTATGCCACTTTGTGTCCTCCACATATTTTGACTGATCTTTCAATCACCTGATGAATATTCATGAATGTTCTCAAATTCAAAAACCAATGACATCCTTGCTCTTGTATATAAACACGTGCAACAAAATAAATTACAATTGCCTTGATAAAATCCCCAGAGGACGAAATGCATCAGCTAAGATTTGTTTTTTCTTTTGTTTTTTA